TATTATTGGTTTTATATATTACAAATAGCTTCCTCTAGTTTGTAACTGTATTTTCAATTTGTATAAAGTGGCTTTTGTTTAGAGGCTTGTTCATTTTAATGCAATCCCACTTGTTAATCTTGTTCTGTATAAATGACAATTTTTCCCTTAATAGTACTATATCCCAAGCTCAGAAATGGAACTGATTGATTTTTATATCAATTTTTTTAAAGGTACTACTTTTGATATTTAACTTGTTATTTCATGTGGATGTGGATTTGACTTGGGTTAATAGTGTGAGAAAGGAATCCAACTTAATTTATTTCATATCAATAATTTTTTTCCTCTTCTATTTAATTTTTTTAAATTTCTCATTTCCCTCACTGATCTTCCAAGCTAACTCACTGTATGTCAGATGTGTAGAAACCATCTCTGTTTGGCTCTCTATTCTCTTCCATAAGTAGAATATTCCATTTTGTTTATTAATATATTCTAATTATACACTGTATTAAATACTATGGTTTTATAAAAGTCTTGATATGATATAATGCAAGCCCTCTCTCCATAGTATTCAGGTAAGTCTTGATTGTTCTAGTTCTATTCCTTTCATATAAATACTTGAAGAAGTATTTTCAAGTGTTTTAAAAACTGTTAATGTTTTAATTTGAATTGCAGTGAAGCAACAGAAAATCTGTAAAAAATTTATTTCTTTGTAATATTTATATTCCTATCCTTAAGCTTAAAAACAAATTTACTGAATAAGCCCTTAAAAACAAATTTACTGAATATGCCCAAAAATAAGTTATAGTCATCCGTGATTCTTTATTCATTTTGGAATAAATATGGTCATATTGTGTTTAGGATAATATTACAATAAAACACCATTTATTCCAACTTTATTGAGACGTTTATAAATAATGAATTTATATTGCATTTTGTCAAATACATTTTTGTTTATTAAAATAATCATACTTTTCCACCATAATCTCTTTATGTGTAATTTCATTGTAAATAATTAAAATAACAAACCCTTTTTGTTTTTATGAAATAAACCTAATGTAGACATTGTGCATTTGCTTTTCACACAATGTTTGAATCAGATTGCTACAATAAATTCTTCATGAAATAAAGGACTTTGTATTATTTCTGCTTTTCACAGTAACTTTTACTAGCTTGATCACATTAGTTAGCTGGCTGCCCAGCCTGTAAGAAAGGTATATCTATCCAATTATCTTAAGACTTTGCAATTCCTCTCACCAATGTTTTGTTGTTTTTAGTGTAAATGTTAGGCAGGAGAACAGATATGAGCAGAGTGGAAAGAGAATAAGAACTGTAATAAAGCCCACTAGAAGGGACGTAAAGAGTTAACCAGTTAAAAACAGAAAGCTCAGAAGGCCAGGAACAACTTGGCCTAGAAGTTTGAATACTCCCCAGATAAAGAAAATTATCTCAGAATAGCCTATGTTTTCACTGTGTCAGTTAGAACACACCATTGAAAGATTTACTTTAGCACCTACTAAAAGGCCCAGCTTATTCCGTAAGAATTCTATCTTAAAGCTAAGATTGCATTTTAATCAAACGGATGGTGGCTCAGCCCACATTGGAGGCAAGGGCAGACAGTCTGATTGATATGCTTCCAGACAGAAGCTGATACACCGGAAAAGAATCAAAGCTGTATATTTCTTGTGTTAAGTTAAAAAAAAAAAAGGAAACTTAATGTGTGAACACAGAAGAACATTCTGGGACAATTTTGCTGTTCCGCAACTGGCCATTTTCGCATTCCTGAAAATGCTCAACCTCCTGTAAAACCCCAGACCCTAAATCTTTAAGGGCACCTCCTCTTTGAGGTAGCCCACACTCCCCTTTCTCCTAGTGTGCACCTTTTTGCTTTAAATAGACGGCTCACTGCTCAATTTATAATATTTTGTCTCTGCGCTTTTCTGGTGGTAAATGTCTTTGTTACTTTTCTTTTGTCATTCTAATTTTCCAAATTGAAACTCAAACCTTCACTTCCTCTGTCCCATTTCAGATAAATAAGAAGCGGTTGCTTAGAGCACAGAGCTGGGCTTACAAATTACCATCACCTGGGTGACTTGGAAGGAACTGCAGTTTACAGTCATGGTCTTTAGTAGCCTGCTTGAAAGTCTTCTTTCTTTGTCTCTAGGAAGTTTGCAGAACGTAATCTCAGTCCATCCAGTGCTCTGCAGATCCCCCAAATCCTGGGGTGGTAGGGACTCAATTCCCATGCCTGCAGATACAACTGGACACTGGACACCAGGTGACACTGGCTTAAGGAGTTAGCAGGGGATGTGACCCACACTGAGTAGTAGTTCAATGAAATTCCTTTACTATTCAAATCTGTCATTGACTTTAATAAATTCCTTCCTCACCTGGTACTCTGAATTCCATGTGTTTCTGAAACAACCTCTCCCTCCAACATAAGGATCTCACACATACTTTGTTAGGAGTATCTCTAAGTATTGCATATTGTTGACCATGTTTGAAATACTATCTTTAAATTTCAGCTTCAAATTGTTTATTGTTAATATATAGAAAATAAATGAATTATTGAATACTGACACTGAATCCTGCAAACTTGAGAGTGATAGCTTTTTGTAGTAGATTCTTTAGAATTTACTTTGAATACAATCATGTCATCTACCAATACAGATTTCAAACTTCCTTTTGATCTGTATGTCTGATTTCCTCCAGTCTTATGTTAGACATGGAAATCTTGTCTTTCTTTTGATCTTATATTTCACCAATATGCACAATCCTAGCTCTAAGAATTTTATTGATGATCTTTACCTGTTTGATGATGTTCCCTTTTTTTCTTGTTCTGTTGAGAGGTTAATTAAAAAAATAATTTTGTGAAAAAGTGGTGTAAGTTTTTTTGAGATGGTCATAGGACTTTATTTTCTTTTATTCTGTAATTAGTATGGATGCTATTAATGGATTTTCAAATGTTAAACAGATCTTTATTTTCCTTTTTATATATAACTGGTTTATTTGCTAATATTTTGTTAGTGGGCTTTGCATTTCTGTTCACTTTTCTCATTTCTTGGAATATCTTCTTTTGGCTTTGGTACGAAGATAATATAAGCTTTATAAAATAAATCAAACAATGCTCCCCTTCCTGTTTTTCTAAAGTGTTTGTATAAGAATGGTATTATTTCTTCCCTAAAGCTCTTATAGATTCACCACCATAGTCATTTTGGCCTGTTTTCTTTGTGGGAAGATTTTGTAACAAATTTGATTTCTTTCAAGACAGCTAAATTTGGATTTCTCATTTTTTTGTCAGTTTTGGCTGTTTGTGTCTTTCAAGGAATCTATCTCATCTAAATTTTCAAATTTATTGGGATAAAGTCATTTATAATATTCTCTTATAATCATTTTAATGTTATTGGTCTTTTGATATTTTCACTCTCATTATTAGTATTTGTGTTTTCTTTTTATCTTGATTTTAGATTAGCTAATTGTCTATAAACATTATTAATATTTTTTAAATAACTTCAAATTATTGATATTTTTCTCCCTTTAGTTGTCCCTTTTCTATACCATTTACAGATAATATTATCTGAATTATTTATTTTAAAAAATCCTTTGGAAATAATTAGCTTTTCTTTTTCTACTTTCCAAGGTAGATGCATAATTATTGATAGGTCTCTCTTCTCTAATAATATAAGACTTCAAAACTATAAATTCCTCTCTGAGCACATATAGTTGTATCCCACAAATTTTGATATATTGTGTTTTTAATTTTAATTCAGTTCAAAATATTTTCTGATTTTCATTATAGAAGTCCTTTGTCCCATGGGAATGTGTTGTTTGATATCCAAATACCTAATAGTTTCATCTAGGTACATTTATATTACTGATCTCTATTTGAATTCCATTGTTACCAGAGAGCACACTCAATATGCATTTTTTTCTTGATATTTGTTTGATATTATGGACTAACATTAGTCTATGAGAGTGAATATACCATGTGAAATATAAAGAATGTGTATTCTGTAGTTTTACATGGTATGCTGCTTTTAAATATCTATTAGTGCAAGTCAAATGACAGAGTTGTTTATATCTTATATATACTTACTGATTTTCTACCTACTTGTTTTGTCAGTTAATGAAGACAAGTATTGAAATATTCAACTGTAATTGTCAATTTGTATATTACATTTTTTAAATCTGCTAGTTTTGCTTCACGTATTTTGAGCTTTGTCAGTGAGTGAAATATTCTTTTTTTTTTAAGAAGAAAATGTTTTTATTAATCACAACATGAAATTGACATGACATCCCATTAGAACTTAACCAGGATAAATAAGCTGTTGTAAAATTTAGATTTCACACATCCCTTTCAGAGGAAAATATTACCTACCAGGGCTCTTCTAGGTCTTATGGACTGATTTCGGTAAATGTTTTATTTATTAATAGTAAACAGCAATTAACATATATTCTCAAACTGTGCCAAGTAGTTACAAAGGCAAGTATAAAACTTATGGTAACAGCTGGCAGGTTTCAGACTGTTTTATTAAGCAGTCTGAACCACATTTTTATTTTAGATATTTTTTCAGTGTACCTTTTTCATTGGTAAGGCAACTGCTCACTGGGGGCACAAGAATGATTAGGAAGTTTTTTAAATAATAGATACTTGAAGGATCAAGAGTCAAGTGAGTTTGCTTTCCAAATTTTGTTCTCTTTTGGAGCAAAACCAAATGGCTTTGTTTTTGTATATAGAAAGGTCAATATTTTGAAATTCAGGTATTACAGTCTTCTAATTCATAATTTCAAAGGGAGATGAACTATTATTATGAGTAAGTCTCTGAAATACTTCATTTTTAAAATAACAAGGCTTCTGAATAATTTCTCAGATCTACCGCATGAGTACATGACTTAAGGAATGTCACACATTTGGTCTGAAGTGTGGTAGGTCTTCTACCAACTACATCTTGTCCTTAGTAAGGATTAGCATTGTGCTTTCAAACAATTTTTACATGTAAAGCATCTTTAATTAAAGTTTCCTTTTCACGGTACCGAATTTTTTTCCCACTTAACTGTTTGTGGAAGGTAATTTGAACGTACACATATATACACTGCATACAGATGTGTGTGTATATATGTATTTTTTACGTAAGTTACTTTTACCATTAGATTAAAACTAGACTACAGGGCAAACTGTGAGAACAGTTTGGTCTTTCTTAGCAATCCAACTCTAGGTTGAAGAAGGCAGGTACAGTTCGCTGAAGGATGTGATGAGGCTGTAGTAGGTCTTTTCATCATCTGTTAATCCTGCATTGCCAGGCCTCACCACGACAGCTACATGCACATCTGCTTCCTCAGCAGCACTTGCCTCTAGAGTAACGTCTGTCAGAAACAAGCTGTTGTTGGTTGAACACCCAATGCTATTCGCAATCTTTCGGTAACTCTCACTCTCCACTTTGTGTCCAATCTTGGTGTCAAAGTGACCATCAACAAGCTCTAGGATGTTGCCCTCTGTGGAATGCCTGAACAACAGCTTCTGTGCCTCGACACTCCCTGAAGAATAGATATACACCTTCATTCCAGCTTCTCTCCATTTCCTGACTGCTGAAACTACGTCTTCAAAGAACTCTGCTTTCATGTATCCTGCTGTGAATGCTGCCCTCCACATGTGGCCCTGCAGCTGCTTCAGGGCTATGGTCTTTCGGTCCAGAGACATCTGCCAGCAGACGTTGTCTACCACAGCCTGGATCATCTGCTGCAGTTCATCTGCCCCATCCCCAGATGCAGCAGGGATAGGAACAGCTCCATCCAGGTGGGAGTCCTCTTCAGCCTGTTTCCTCAAAAGATTGATGTCCTCCTGGCACTCCTCTTCTTCCCAATGTGTCTGCAGATAATCTTTAACATTTTCTTTGATGTAAGGAAATAAAATGTCCTTCACGAAAGCAATCGGAGTTGCGGTACCTTCGATATCTAACAGGATCACAGTGACTTCGGCGGGGACCGAAAGCACAACCATTTCCCTACCGGAGGCTAACACGACAATCGGCCTACTCGTACTGAGCGCGGAGGGCGGTGCCAGCTGCGCCCCCAGCACGGTCTTAGGTTTCCTACAGCCGCACAAGGGTCCTCAGAGTTGGCAACCGCGCGCGTCCAGAAGCACTAGCTGGAGAAGCCACCTCCATGCCCCTGGAAGTGGAGAAGCACGGAGAAGCCCCTGGAAGTACAGGGGATCTGAAATACCGAACTGCCGAAATATTCTTAAGATTATTATTTCTTTCTAATTAACTAACACATTTATCATTGTTATCATTTTCATCTCTGGTACTATTTCCTTGCCTGAATATATATCATCTGATATTGCTAGAGCCACTTCATCCTTCTTATGTTTAGCATTTCCATGATAAATAATATTTTTTGTTTTATTTTTAATCAATTTATTTTTTTATATTTAAAGTGGGTTTCTTATAAACATTCTAAAGTGAATAACTGCTTTATCCATCCAGTCTGGCAAATTCTTTTTATTGGATTTTTTTGGAAAATTTACATTTAACATAATATTCAATACAGCTTTATTTAAATCTAACATCTTACCTTTTGTTCTTTACATTTCTCAAACATTTCACAATTTTAGTTTTTTGTTTTTATTGATTAGCAATTCTTATGATTCTGTCTCATCTCTACTATTAACCATATTTCATTTTAATTTTCACTCTTATTCTAGGGTATGTAATATTGATTGATCTTTAACTTCTCAAAGTCTGGTACAAATCAAGTATCACTTTACTTTGATATAAAACTCTTACAGCAGTGTATTTCTATGTATCTTTCCTTCTATGTATTACTGTTGGTATGCAATTTAAATATATATATGTCATAATCTGCACAATACTTTGTTCCTAATTTTTTTCTTCAAGCAATGACTATTTTTCATGTTTCTGAGGCTCTTTTCACTTAGTCTTCTTTTATCCTGCATCGTGACCCAAAGCTCCCTTTCTGAATTCTTGATTTCCATTTCCTGGACTTAGTAAGTCCCAGTGCCTTGTTTGGGTCTCCCTCCCTGAATCATTGCTCTAGAATTTGTCAGGTGGAGAATAGAAGTGACTGTAGGAGTTCCCCTAGATATTCATCCTTTACACAGATCACAATTTTGCACTGTCTCTTGTCCACTTTCTAAAGAGTCATTTTATGTATTTAGTCCAGTTTTGTAATTGTTTATGGTAAATAGTTAAATCTATTCTTTGTTGTATCATTATGAACAGAAGTGAAATCTCATGATGACTGCTTTTAACTACAGTGATAAAGCTGGAAGAAAATTGGAAGGTAAATTAGAAATATATATTAATAAATACTAAATTTATGGAGGTAGTGTAATTCTTAAATTGCTAAAGAAAAATGTTTATTCCTTAGTGTTCTGTGTCTTGTATCCTAAGTACTGAATACCACATTAAGAACAAATTTTAATGATGATGTATGTAGAAGAGTAGAATATGTCTTCAACTGCTACAAACAAAATATATTTTATTTACAAAATAATGCAAATGTCATGTTAAATTTTGATGGTATATTACAACACTAGAATAAGAGTTATTTAAGGAACTATTAACTTTTGTTAATTTTACTGGCAGTGAATAATCAGTACATACATAAATGTCTAACATATAGTACGGTAAGTACTCAATGTATATGTTAAATACTAGAAAGTAAAAAACCAGGAGTAACTGCAACAAGGATTAACCTGACCTTATTTGCAAAGTTGTTTAGTTGAAAGCAATCCTTGCTTCTTGATCTACATAACTGAGATTGGGTACACATAAAATATGTTGAAAATTATGCATTAAATTTTAAGACATTAAAACATTTATAATGCAATCAGTTACAGAAATTTTTGCTTCATAGGAAAGCACATATAAACAGATAATATTCACTTTGTAGATTAATAATCTTAGCCTAAATCACTGCTTTTCAGTCCTCAACATACTCACATAAAATTCTCTAACCCTGGAAAATTCTTGTCATCAGATTGTAGCATTAAATTTGACGGAATGTGAAAGGCAATTTTCAATCAGTAATTTTGTCCTATGCCTCTTCCAAGAAAAAAAAAAAAGGAGAAAATAGTAAGAAACACCCTGGAACAAATAGCAAATCAAACTCAGAGACCAATCCAGTTTAATTACCCTTTTTTAATAGTGTGGGCTGCTGCTTACTGCTACATGTTTCTCATGAAATAGATATCAGGAAAGAAAACTGAACATGACAATTACATTTTTGTGGCAATTACTAAGTGAGAAAAATATTGTATATAAAACCCTCATTTTTCTTATTAGATATTTGAGTTTAAGTTTCTAATGCCAGTTTATTTTCTGAAATTGTACTTTAGGTCAAGATAAAATTGAAGAACCTTCCAAATTAATTACTATTGACAATGATTGTGATCTGAAATTCTGTGTAAAATGATTCCTATAATGTAATACAGAAATCAAGGAACTTATATTCTATCAGTACCCATATAATTATTGGAATTGAGAGAAAAAGACCAAACCATATCAACAATGCAAACCTCTTTAATACCAAGTTAAGTAAAAAACATACCAATATTCCTCTTAACCTGTTGTAGCTCCAGAGGGAAAATATGTTCCCAACCCTGGGGCAAGTACCTTTGAAACCGAAATCAGTCAAAGGGAGAAATAAAGTGGGAGAAACCCATTTATTGTTTACAAGCAGTCATCCGCTTCTCCTCACCATGTCTCACAACCTAATTGCTCCCTATATTCTGCAAAGGCCCCTATGCAAGAAAACTGGAGCACTATAACCAGACTAATAACATACAATAACAACAGCAAAAAAAATCATGATAATCCTCAGACCAGAAGATTCAGCTAGGTTCAAAGTCCTAAGAAGATTAAGTCCATAGCTCACCCAGTCCACAGGCAGTCAGTAACTAAACGGGTAGGGAGTTCAGATCAATCAACACACAGCAGCTACAGCCAGAGGACAGGTCCACACGGCAAAGACAGTAGAGGAAAACAAACTTGAGGTTGATAAGATACATGTTTTAATGACACCAGCATAGGCAAATCTTGTTCATCAGGTAGGATGCATGCAAGAGAGTGGTCCTGTGATAGGACAGTGGCAGGAGTGGGATCTCATCCTGGTCTAGTGTACCAGAATTTCACTCCCCTCCCTGTGGGAGTTACAGATAGCTCAATATGTAGGGCTATGAGAGGCATATGACCTAGCCATAAAGATAAAACAGAATTTTCCTCTAAGAGCCTTTTACCTTCTGGACGTTTTGGGTAACTATTGTAATCTTTGGTGGCCATTCTGCTGTTATTCCAGGAACACACAGAAGGCCGGCTTCCAGGCCTTTTTGCCAAGGTGTCAGAGGGCCAGACAGCACTAATCCATGTGCTAAAATGTCCAGGGCCATGTCCATTCAACAAAGTCCCCATGGTTTAATGTAGCTGGAGCTGGCAGCAGGATGTTGCTTTGCTGGCCATATCCTTGTTTCAATAACTCATCTTTGGTTGCATATGCAGTTGTATAGCAGACTCAGCAAAGTATGTTAGCATATTCACAGAGCTCAAAGCTCCTTTTCAGGGCTTCTCATTCAAATGCTGAAGAACTATCTGTAAGTGAAATGACCAGCCCCATTGACTATTGTTGTATGACTTCAGGCCAGATTTCAACAAACCATTGTACCTCTCTATCATGCTTGCCCCAGTAGGGTTATATGGGAAATGAAACTCCCAATTTATTCCTAATTCCTGCACCCATTTTTGTAACACATATCTAGTAAAGTGGGTGCCTTGATTGCTCTCAATCACCAGCAGCCAGCCATAGGCTGCAAAGAGATGCTATAGGCCCCTTTTGGTGATTTGCTGATATGCAGCAGGAAAAGCAACCAACAGTCCAGGAGCTGTGCCCACACAAGTCATGGCATACCAATATCCTTCTGACATGGGCAGGGGCCCAATGCAGTCTATCGGCCACCTGACAGGTGTATTTCCCCCTTTACTTTTGTCCCATGTTGCTGCAGGACATGGTGTAAGTCTCTCTCAAAGCACACAAAGCACTCCTTCTGGGCTTGGCTGTCTTCTTCAAAGGTCAATGGCAAGCCCTACCAGTGAGCTATAGCCCACATTGTCTTTTCCCCACATGCAACAAATGCTGATGTAATCATTGGGCTACATCAGAGGCAGTCTTTCCTACTAGCCAGTGCACCTGGGCTAATGTGTCTGCTTCATCATTCCCCGGGGATGCCAAAGGCAAATGGCCAGTTGCAAAATATATTGTAGCAGTCTTAGTCTGACCAGAGGTGTTGCCACACTTTGCCCAAAAGGGGCCAGTGACCAACCATCTAGTTGGCATGGTACCATGTTGGTAGCCAGAGTCAAGCCCCAACAGATGGCCCAGCTATCAATGCAGACAACTATGGAGAAGGGCTCCTGGGGGATCATGAGCCATACTGCCCACAACTCATCACATTGACAGCTCTTCCCCTCTCTGTCCTCCATCCCTATTGTCTCCATTTTAGGATAGAAAGCTACAGCCCTCCACTTTGGATGCTGCTTACGACTGGAGCCATCTGTACACCAAGGATTTTCATGTATAGGGGCTTTTCCCTTCTGGTAAGTACTCTTGCCTACCAATGGCTCAAAAGCAAGTTCTTGCTTTTCACCAGTATGTCACTGGCCCCAATAAGTGTTGAATTTCTGCACGTATGGGACTAGTGGAAATGGCCCCAAATCACTGTATGTATGTGCCCTATTTGGTCAGTGTTGGCATCTGCGCCATGCCACTCTGTGGCCTTTGGCTAGAGTCTCACACCCACCCTGCAATGGGATATGGGGCTCTTACCTTGCTTGAAGCTGTTACAGTGATGGACTCCACAGCCAGCAAGGTGTGGTATACAACAGCCAGTTGTTTCTCTGTCAAGGTTCACCAGACCTCTGCTTCTTTCTATAGTCTTGACCAGAATCCAATAGGTTGGCAGTTCCATTCAAACTGCTGCCAAAGGCCCCATCCATAACTATCTTCAGTTACATGAACATCTAGTTTGCAGGGCCTTGATGAG